ATAAAACCAGAATAACATTGTTCGATAGACACATTACACTTATGTTGTAAAACCAGAATAACATTGTTCGATAGACACATTACACTTATGTTGTAAAACCAGAATAACATTGTTCGATAGACACATTACACTTCTGTTGTAAAACCAGAACAACATTGTTCGATAGACACACTACACTTCTGTTGTAAAACCAGAATAACATTGTTTACGTTGTTTGTTGTAAGATGCTAATGTTTACGTTGTTTGTAGTAAGATGCTAATATTTACGTTGCGTGTTGTAAGATGCTAAAGTTATTTACGTTGTTTATCGTAAGATGCTAATGTTTACGTTGCTTGTTGTAAGATGCCAGTATTGTTTACGTTATTTGTCGTAAGATGCTAATGTTGTTTACGTTTGTTGTAAGATGCTAATGTTGTTTACGATGTTTGTTCTAAGATGCTAATGTTGTTTACGTCAGTTGTAAGATGCTAATATTGTTTGTCGTAAGATGCTAATGTTGTTTACGTTTGTTGTAAGATGCCAGTATTGTTTACGTTATTTGTCGTAAGATGCTAATGTTGTTTACGTTAGTTGTAAGATGCCAGTATTGTTTACGTTATTTGTCGTAAGATGCTAATGTTGTTTACGTTAATTGTAAGATGCAAATGGTGTTTACGTTGTTTGTCGTAAGATGCTAATGTTGTTTGTTGTAAGATGCTAATGTTTACGTTGTTTGTCGTAAGATGCTAATATTTACGTTGCATGTTGTTAGATGCTAATGTTGCTTATGTTATTCATTGTAAGATGCTAATTCTATTTACGTTATTTGTCGTAAGATGCTAATGTTGTTTACGTTAGTTGTAAGATGCAAATGTTATTTACGTTGTTTATCGTAAGATGCTAATGTTTACGTTGCTTGTTGTAAGATGCCAGTATTATTTACGTTATTTGTCGTAAGATGCTAATGTTGTTTACGTTAGTTGTAAGATGCTAATGTTATTTACGTTGTTTATCGTAAGATGCTAATGTTTACGTTGCTTGTTGTAAGATGCCAGTATTATTTACGTTGTTTGTTGTAAGATGCTAATGTTATTTACGTTGTTTATCGTAAGATACTAATGTTTACGTTGCTTGTTGTAAGATGCTAAGGTTGTTTACGTTGTTTGTTGTAAGATGCTAAGGTTGTTTACGTTGTTTATCGTAAGATACTAATGTTTACGTTGCT